CCCAGCCGTGACGTGTAGCTCTTCACTCCCTCACTCTGTCTATGTCCTCTAACACACATCTGCTAGACCTGCAGTCTGCCTCTGACCCCTTCATTCTTCTCTAGCTACCCAACCTAGATACTTCCTGAGCTCAGCCCTGTCTGGAACACAGGAATGGAAAATACAGTCCTCTGGCTCATAGCTAAAAATGTCCTCAAGTAGAGGGAGCCAGCTGGCTGCGCATAAGCCAGTTCAGCCTCGTGATGTACTGCTTCAATGAAGCTAAACATTGACCTCTTTGATAACCAAGGACCATGCCCAGCAAGTTCTGTAACTTAATTATTAAACTGCTTGGAAGAGAGGCAAACTGTTAGACTTTGAGAGCTCTACATTTTTATTTTGATTTTATTTATTTATTTATTTTGAGATGGAGTCTTGCTCTGTCACCCAGGCTGCAGTGCAATGGCATGATCTTGGCTCACTGCAACCTCCACCTCCCAGGTTCAAGAAATCCTCCTGCCTCAACCTCCTGAATAGCTGGGATTATAGGCACCCACCAGCACACCTGGCTAATTTTTGTGTTTTTAGAAGAGGCGAGCTTTTCCTAAGTCGGCGCTCGCCAAGGAGAAAGCCATGTTCAGTTCGAGCACCAAGATCGTGAAGCCCAATGGCGAGAAGCCAGATGAGTTCGAGTCCGGCATCTCCCAGGCTCTTCTGGAGCTGGAGATGAACTCGGACCTCAAGGCTCAGCTCAGGGAGCTGAATATTACGGCAGCCAAGGAAATTGAAGTTGGTGGTGGCCGGAAAGCTATCATAATCTTTGTTCCTGTTCCTCAACTAAAATCTTTCCAAAAAATCCAAGTCCGGCTAGTACACGAATTGGAGAAAAAGTTCAGTGGGAAGCATGTTGTCTTTATCGCTCAGAGGAGAATTCTGCCTAAGCCAACTCGAAAAAGCCGTACAAAAAATAAACAAAAGCGTCCCAGGAGCCGTACACTGACAGCTGTGCATGATGCAATCCTTGAGGACCTGGTCTTCCCAAGTGAAATTGTGGGCAAGAGAATCCGCGTGAAACTGGATGGCAGCCGGCTAATAAAGGTTCATTTGGACAAAGCACAGCAGAACAATGTGGAACACAAGGTTGAAACTTTTTCTGGCGTCTATAAGAAGCTCACGGGCAAGGATGTTAATTTTGAATTCCCAGAGTTTCAATTGTAAACAGAATGACTAAATAAAAAATATATTCACAGTAAAAAAAAAAAAAAAATGAAAGCAAAGGGATATAGAGTTGAGAGACTGTGCTCTCAATCCTGTACCCCAGTTGATTCTGACTCTTCTCATTCCAAAGTGGCCACTACCTTCCCTTTAGTCTCCCAAAATCAAATATATTAAGCATAANTAAAAAAAAAAAAAAAAAAGAAGAGGCGAAGTTTCACCATGTTGGCCAGGCTGGTCTCAAACTCGTGACCTCAAGTGATCTGCCCGCCTTGGCCTCCCAAAGTGCTGGAATTACAAGTGTGAGCCTAGCCATAATTTTATTTATTTTTTTGAATAGGTAATACATACACATGATCTGATATGCAAAACTTACAGAAGAGAATACAGTGAAAAGTCTCCCTTCCATTCTGTCCTCTACTCGCAAAGTTCCCCCTCCTTGGAGCCAATCAATGTTTCCTTGTCTTACGTATCGTTTCAGAAATATTTTATGCTTATTTCTGCCTCTGAAATAATTTCTAAAACTGCTAAAAGAGAGTCCCTTAGAGAGTAACTACTGTTGAGACTGGGCTAATGTTATTTAGATTCATCTATTTTACTCCATTTTATTTCATTTCAACCTTATTTGGAAGCATATTTTTTTCAACATTTCACTATGAAGATATTTCAAACATATAGGAAAATTGAAAGAATTTTCAGTGGGGCTAAGTGCAGTGGCTTACGCCTCTAATCCCAGCACTTTGAAATGCCAAGGTGGGGAGATCACTTGAGGTCAGGAGTTCAAGACCAGCCTGGTCAACATGGAGAAACTCTGTCTCTACCAAAACTACAAAAATTAGCTGGACATGGTGGTAGGCACCTATAATTCCAGCTACTCAGGAGGGTGAGGCAGGAGAAGCTCTTGAACCTGGGAGGTGGAGGCTGCAGTGAGCTAAGATCACGCCACTGCACTCTAGCCTGGGCAACAGAGCAAGACTCCGCCATCTCAAGAATAAATAAATAAATAAATAAATAAAAGAATTGTTCAGTGAATACCTACACTTCCACCACCTAGATTCTGCAATGACTAATTTGCTACATTTGCTTTAGATATTGTTATTATTATTCCCATTTTACCGCTGATGAAACTGTGTCAAATGTAGGTGGTTTGCTGCAAAAGCTTCTTAAGACTATCTTGCTTAATCTTTTTTTTTTTAATTCCAGCATTTCAGCCAAGGTCCAAAGAGATTAACATCTCCAGAGAAGAATTTAAATCCAGTTTCCAGTGTCTGAATATGGTCTGTAGATAAGCCACAAAGAACACGAGTTCTCTTTTTCACTTGTAATTTCTGCACCCTTTGGCCCTTATCATTCCACGTGGTGCTGTTCTCCCTGACAGAGTTTAACCTCCCTCAGCTGACCACCTTCTTCTTGAAAGCATAGTTTTTAGGCATGTGAGAGAAGCAGACCAGGCAGCCCAGCCAACTCAGCTGTTTTTATCTCAACAGCCCACGTGGACAACCACTTTGCTACTCACAGGGTGGTTCACAGACCAGCAGAATTACATCATATATGTACAATATCAGGCCCACCCAGACCTATTGAATGAGAATCTGTCATTTCACAAGATTCTCAAGTGATTCCTATTGCACATATCACACATTATTATAGTCTCATTTCAGCCATGGTTAAAAGGAGCCTAATGCGATTTGCTGGTCATCGGTGGAAAAAGAAAAAAAAAATAGTTCATGACATTCAGCTTGGCTGGGCTTGGTACACACCTGTAATCCTAACATTTTGGGAGGCCAAGGTGGGATGATCACGTGAGGCCAGGGGTTTGAGTCCAGCCTGGGCAACATAGCAAGACCGTCTCTATAGAGAAAAATAAAGACATTTATCTTTTTTTTTCTTTTTGAGATGGAGTCTCACTCTGTTGCCTAGGCTGGAGTGTAGTGGTGTGATCTTGGCTCACTTGCAACCTCTGTTTCCTGGGTTCAAGTGAGTCTTCTGCCTCAACCTCCTGAGTAGCTAGGACTACAGGCGCACACCACCACACCCAGCTAATTTTTGTATTTTTTGTATTTTTAGTAAAGATGAGGTTTCATTATATTCACCAGGCTAGTCTCAAACTCCTGACCTCATGATGATCTGCCCGCCTCAGCCTCCCAAAGTGTTGGCATTACAGGCATGAGCCACCATGACTGGCCGACATTTATCTTAAGAACTACCCTTTCCGCGCCGGGCGCGGTGGCTCACGCCTGTAATCCCAGCACTTTGGGAGGCTGAGGCGGGTGGATCATGAGGTCAAGAGATCGAGACCATCCTGGTCAACATGGTGAAACCCCGTCTCTACTAAAAATACGAAAAATTAGCTGGGCATGGTGGCGCGTGCCTGTAATCCCAGCGACTCAGGAGGCTGAGGCAGGAGAATTGCCTGAACCCAGGAGGCGGAGGTTGCGGTGAGCCGAGATCGTGCCATTGCACTCCAGCCTGGGTAACAAGAGCGAAACTCCATCTCAAAAAAAAAAAAAAAAAAAAAAAGAACTACCCTTTCCTTCTTTTTGTTTTTTTTACATCTTATTTGCCTCTTTCCTCCCTTTCTTTGCAACCTGTAACCCCACTTATCGAGCCCCTGCTCTGTATGCTCGGTACGAGGAACATTATTCCTAACACTCAGAGTATTGCAAAAGATACTTTATTCCTAATTTACAGATAAGGCTCAGAGGATTAGAAATCCACCTAATGGGCCGGGCGCAGTGGCTCAAGCCTGTAATCCCAGCACTTTGGGAGGCCGAGACGGGTGGATCACGAGGTCAAGAGATCGAGACCATCCTGGTCAACATGGTGAAACCCCGTCTCTACTAAAAATACAAAAAATTAGCTGGGCATGGTGGCGCGTGCCTGTAATCCCAGCGACTCAGGAGGCTGAGGCAGGAGAATTGCCTGAACCCAGGAGGCGGAGGTTGCGGTGAGCCGAGATCGCGCCATTGCACTCCAGCCTGGGTAACAAGAGCGAAACTCCATCTCAAAAAAAAAAAAAAAAAAAAAAAAACTACCCTTTCCTTCTTTTTGTTTTTTTTACATCTTATTTGCCTCTTTCCTCCCTTTCTTTGCAACCTGTAACCCCACTTATCGAGCCCCTGCTCTGTATGCTCGGTACGAGGAACATTATTCCTAACACTCAGAGTATTGCAAAAGATACTTTATTCCTAATTTACAGATAAGGCTCAGAGGATTAGAAATCCACCTAATGGTCAACAGCTGTAAATACTAAGCAAGTTCTTTTCCAAGACCTGTTTCTTTCTACTGTAAAACAATGTCTCTCCAAACCCTGGCAATTGCCTCAGCCTAGACCTTGCCCACTTGGGCCAGAGAGCTTATGCCTGCCTGTCATGCAAGGCTTGTAGATTTGTCTTTCTCTCAAGCCCTTTTCTCATGTCTTGTTCACTGCTAGTTCACCTGGATCTTGTTCTTTTAGCTCCCAGTCATCAATCAGGTATTCTTATAAACTAAGAACATAGGTAACACCTGGGCATTGTAATGATGGCCTTCTATAGATAGTGGGAGGAGGTGGGAGTGAGAAGATGACAGACAGGTGAAAAAATATTTGGGCAGGTAGGATGCACTCTGCTAGGGCATGCCTTCTTTCAATCTAAACGAAGAGGTCAGATAGCTGCTGTGGATACGGTTTTATGCTAGTGCCTATGCTGTGTACAGAGATCTACAAAATGTGATTCCTGCCCTTAATAAGGAGACTTAATCCAGCAGGGGAGCTAGGGCAGGCACACATCAAAGCCCGGTGAAAAAGTACAGCAGGAACATAGAAAAGAGGCTGCTTCTAGGTGGCAAAATAGATGATTACAAAGAGCCCGGGATGGGAGGCAGAGAGCCTTCCAGGCAAGGGGAGAACGTGCAAAAAGAGAAGAAAAAGCACCTTTGGGGAGTCTCCTGCATAGAGCCCTGGGTGGCTGATGGAGAAGGTATGTTAGATTAAGGAGGAAGCTTGGGAATGGCTCATAGGGAGTCACTGAAGATTAAGAAGTAATATGATCAGAAGTGGGCAATTCGGTTGCTACTTTGGCAGAGAACATGGATCAAAGCAGACGCTGACTAGATTGAAGGAGGTGATAGATTCATACCTAGAATGAAACTCAGAGAACTGGTAGATAAGCAGCTTTCAAACTTTTTGGCCCTGAAACCCATTGTGCAAATGAAATCTTAGTCAGCCATTGTAAACAAATAGATTAAAGCTAAATTGCTCTGGTTGGAGTAAGTGGGAGGGAAAAACTGAGTTCTTTCCTCTCTCTCGTTTCTTTCTTTCTCTACTAGTGGTTTCAGAAGGGGCTTCTTGTTTGAAAATCAATGATCAAAGGGCTCAGTCAACCACAACCAGCTCCTGCCTGTTGCCTGTTTTTGCAAATAAAAACCTATGGGGATATGGCCATGCCTTTTTGATTTTATATTGTCTGTGGCTACTTTCATGCTACAATGACTAAGTTGAATAATCAAGACAGAGAAACTCCATGGGTCCACAAAATTCGAAAGTATATGCTATCTGGCCCTTTAAAGACAAGGATTGCCAACCTCCCATCTAGGGCTTTGGTACAATGCACAGGTGTTCTTGGTCTGTGGTCTAAGTGTCATCCTTAGACACCAGCACACATTGTCCCTCTGTGCACAGATAGCTCAGGGTGTAAAGGTTGATTTAGGAGTCACTGCCTTGGAGTTAGGAGTTAGGAGTAGCATGAGATGGCTTATGGTCAAGGGAGACAGTCCAGCAAGGAAACAAAGGAGGTCCTGAGAAAACCTTAAGGAATGGCTTGATTTAGGGGCAGCCTGAGAGAATCACAGGAGAAATCACTGGGAAAAGTACCAATTCTCATTGATGCCTAGAAAATTAGGACACACTGAAAGCCTTTTCTTTCTCCTTCTCCTTCTTCCTCTTCCTTCTCCTCTTCTTCTTCTTTCTTTGTCTTCCTCCTCTTTTTTGAGACAGGATCTCTCTCTGTTGTCCAGGCTAAAGTACAATGGCATGACTCGGCTCACAGCAGACTTGAGCTCCTGGGTTCATCCTCCCACCTTAGCCTCTCAAGTAGCTGGGACCACAGGCCCATACCACCACCCTTGACTAATTTTTTTTTTTTTTTTTGAGATGGAGTTTCACTCTTGTTGCCCAGGCTGGAGTGCGATGGCACAATCTTGGCTCACCGCAACCTCCACCTCCAGGTCCAAGTGATTCTCCTGCCTCAGCCTCCTGAGTAGCTGTGATTACAGGCATGCACCACCAGGCCTGGCTAATTTTGTATTTTCAGTAGAGATGGGGTTTCTCCATGTTGATCAGGTTGGTCTCAAATTCTCTACCTCAGGGGATCAGCCTGCCTCGGCCTCCACAGGAGCAAGACTCCATCTCAAAATAATTGTTTTTAGAGGCCGGGTGTGGTGGCTCACGCCTGTAATCCTAGCACTTTGGGATGCCAAGGTGGGTGGATCACCTGAGGTCAGGAGTTCAAGACCACCCTGGCCATCATGGTGAGACCCCATCTTTAAAAAAAAAAAAAAATTGTTTTTAGAGACAGTGTCTCAAAAAATTTATTATTATTTTTCTCAAAAAGTTATTTATTATGGTTTTAAAATTTAATTAATTCATTTATTTGAGATGATGTCCCACTCTGTCACCTAGGCTGAAGGGCAATGGCTGGATCTTGGCTCACTGCAACCTCTGCCTCCCAGGTTCAAGCGATTTTCTTGCCTCAGCCTCCTGAGTAGCTGGGATCATAGGTGCACGCCACAACACCTGGCAGATTTTTGTATTTTTAGGAAAGATGGGATTTCGTTATGTTGGCCAGGCTGGTCTCAAACTCTCAACCTCAAATGATCTGCCCACCTCAGCCTCCCAAAGTGCTGGGATTATAGCCATGAGCCACCATGCCCGTCCAAAAAAATTTCTTTTAATAAAAAAATAAAATGGGGATAATAACGAGCCCACCTCATGTGAGTATTACCTAAAGGGCTTAGAACAATACCTAACATGTGGTAAAGACTGTAAGTATTATTTATTACTATTTCCACAAGATGAAAATTATAGACCAGTGCTGTTTGTTATGACTAAGATAGAAAGAGGGGTTTTGGCCCGTAGCGGTGGCTCATGTGTGGAATCCCAGAGCTGTGGGAGGTCGAGGCAGGTGGATCATTTGAGGTCAGGAGTTCAAGACCAGCCTGGCCGACATGGCCGAAACCCCATCTCTACTGAAAAAACACACTAAATTAGCCGGGTGTGGTGGCTCATGCCTGTAACTCCACCTGCTCAGGAGGCTGAGGCATGAAATTTGCTTGAACCTGGGAAACAGACGTTGCAGTGAGTGGAGACTGATCCACTACACTCCAGCCTGGATGACAGAGTGAAACTCTGTCTCACAAAAAAAGAGGAGTTTTAACTTTACATGTATTTGGTAATGTTTATGAAGTGTTAAGATATTTCAAAATGAATGAAGAGGATTATTACGCCCACCTGCAGTACTGTTAATAATTTCAGGGGATCAGCTATCTAGGTGAAAGTTCACAGGGGAGTACACGTCATTGCAACACAAATTAGACTAAAGTTCAAGAAGAGACGGAGTTTCTGAGTCATTTATCTATCTTATCATAAGACCAGCAAGCCTCTTAGCACCACAAAGTAGATGTAACTAAAATGTTACAGGAAATGACTCCAATCTAGAGCAAAGTTAGTCCCATACATAGTGAAAGGTCATGCCTGACAAAAATGACCCATGCTACGTGTCACACATGATCAGGTGGCATATTGCTCAAGATGCCAGCATGCAATCAATCTTTGCAAGAGTCGGATCATTGTCTCACCTTAGGAAAGGCTTTCCATGTGCCTAAAACAGACACTTTCCCCTTCTGGGTTACTTCCTAAAGTATATTCACCTTAACTTTTAGGCAAAGGAAATCTTTCTCAAGTGCTCTGAGTTTATTATTTCCCTTTTCTAGACTCTGTGATCAGGGTCATCTGAGTGTAGATAAGGTTCCCGGAGAAGATTGCTTGAGGACATTGAATATTTATGAATTTCACAGGTATTCAAGAGTGGCTGCACCTGGAGCTGGGAGCTGAGCATCATGAAGATTAAAACATAAAGTAGGCCGGGTGTGGTGGTTCATGTCTGTAATCCCAACACTTTAGGAGGCTGAGGTGGGCAGATCACCTGAGGTTGGGAGTTTGAGACCAGCCTGACCAATGTGAAGAAACCCCTTCTCTATTAAAAATACAAAATTAGCTGGGTGTGGTGATGCGTGCCTGTAATCCCAGCTACTCGGGAGGCTGAGGCAGGAGAATCCTTTGAAGAGAGGCAAAGGTTGCAGTGAGCTGAGACTGCACCATTGCACTCCGGCCTGGGCCACAAGAGCAAAACTTCGTCTCAAGAAAAAAACAATTGAGAGGAGTTAGGAAGAATCATCTTGAATCAATTAACAACATACTGGGGGGCAGTGTGGCATAGCAGTTTAGCGGCTTTAAACTCAGGTTTGGTTTATATACCAGCTTTCACCTTCACAAAATGCCATATGTGCAAGGTAATTCACAGCAGCATTGTTTACAATAAAAAATGACTGGAAATATACTAAATGTTTATCACTAGGGAAGTAATTAAATAAATTATAGGCATAACCATGTGGAAAGTTATCCAAATGGAAAAGCGAGATATAGAGCAGGGTATAAATTATGTTACCCTTTGTAAAAAAATAAAAAGGATAATTTTTTTTTTTTTTTTTTTTTGAAAAAGAGTTTCTACAGACTAAAAACCTGATGGGTACAGTATTAATATGTGGGGAAAACACCCACACATGTACTTAAGGTTTTTTTTTTTTTTTTGACACAGGGTCTTGCTCAGTTGCCCAGGGTGGATTGCAGTGGCATGATCACAGCTCAATGCAATCTCTGCTTCCTGGGCTCAAGCAATCCTCCCCCATCAGCCTCCCAAGTAATTGAGACTACTGACACATATCATCACGCCTGGCCAATTTCTTTTATATTTAGTAGAGATATAGTCTCATTATGTTGCTCAAGCTGGTCTCAAACTCCTGAGCTCAAGTGATCCTCACACTTTGACCTCCCAAAGTGTGGAAATACTTCTTTCATAGCTGTTTGTTTAGGAAGTAAACTCTCTCGGGAAGGATATTGAAGAAGCCAGCAATGCCAGTTGCAGTGGCCCACACCTATAATCCTAGCACTTTGGGAGGCTGGTGCGGGCGGAACACTTGAGGCCTGGGGTTCAAGACCAGCCTGACCAACAAGTTGAAACCCTGTCTCT